CAACGACGGCGGCGGGAATCATGGGGTCGTGCGGCTGAGTACTTTGGCGAGACCGGCGCGGGCACGAACACAGAGCACCGTCGGACTCCAGTGCGGGCACAAGGTCGGCGGCGCCGCCGGCGGGCTGCATCTCTCCTTGGAAGGCGGAGGAACATATAGATTGGTAGAGGAGCCTATACTGACACCGTAGCCCGCCTAGTACAGGCGGAGCACGCATCCACGCGAACGACTGCATCGCCAGCGCCCGCCCGGGCGAGCCCTTGCTCGGCGGGGCGCGTCCGCGTGGGCGCCTGCTGCCGATCCGCATCGGCGTCAGGTAGAACCGCAGCATACCGTTGCCCATGGCGTCACGCCCGGGCGAGTAGCGCTCGACGGTTCCGCTCCTGCTGCGCCTGCGCGTGCACCTGCAGCTCCCCCCTCCGCCTCACGTTGCCGTTGGCGTCCATGTAGCTGCGCTTGGAGCTGTCGAGCCCGCCGTTGTTGCTGCTGAACGAGCTGCGCGCCTGCGCGCGCTCAGGTTGCTGTTGCGCCGGTGCATCTTGGGTTGGCTCCGTGGACGCGTAGGTCCAGCCACGGACGAACGGTCGACGATGTCGGACGGGCCACCGCTCCTGCGCCCGGCGGCGCGCCGGTGGATGAGACCCCAAAGGCTCCACGCCTTGCGCCACCGGCGCGGCTTCTTGGCGGGGCCGGGCAGCGCCGCCTCCAGGCTCGACGAGATGTCCTCAATGAGCGAGTTGGAGCTGAAGCCGTCGTCGAGCAGGTGGCCACGGAGCCCACGCGAGTCTGGCTGCGTGTGGACCAGAACCAGTGAGGGGAGGAGAGGAAGAAGATGACACTGGAGCCCACGTGTTAGTGATGTGGGAGAAAAAGAGGGACAGGGGCATTTTAGTCAACATGAAACAAGGTTAGTCTGCAGGTGGGTCCAACAGCATCAAAAACGTATAAAGTGGCATGTTTTAGACAATAGAAGAATTGTAATGGCAAGACTTCGAATAGTTAAATTATAATGGTGTATATCATAAGTTGAAAAATTGTAATGGCATCGATTAAAATAACCCTAGTTTCTTACATGGCTTCCACACGATGCAAGTTCAGAAAATTGGATATTTACCATTTTCTTCATGAGGCTCCACGTCTGCACATTCGTCACTCCACAAAATTACCACTTACATCATTAAGATATTGTTTACTATATATTAGTTTCTCTTCTGTCCATTTCGTTTTCTTTTCACAATAACAGGCTAGTGAAAGGACCCAGCGCCTCTTGGCTATCGTAGCCTGGTCGAGACTTTTATCTACGCGCTATTAATTAACATAAAAGATCGAAGTCTAATATTCTACGTAGTCCGGCTTGTCAATGTGGACTATAACTATAATAGATAGCAAGAGTATCTACTAGGAAATAGACATTAAAGAGAGACCATAGAATGATAGAAGATTAAAATAACGGTAAGCTAGGCACCAAATGATGGAGGACAATTTCACAAAAAAAATCTAACAATGTTTCATATTTTTTCAAATTTCTAAGATTAAACTAGACTTTATGATTTTTCTTTTAGATGCAGAAACTTTCAAGGAAAATATTTAAATAATTTTTGGAAATGTATTTTAAAGTTTTTCTAATAATGTGTATTAGAACTTTGAACTATCAGCAATTCAGCATAATCCAATGTACCCTGTATTGTTTTTTTTTCAAATACATAAAAGATTTACGTATCATTATAATTAAGAATATGATCTTCCTAGCAGACTGTTATAGACCGTATCGTTACTGAGTGGCGCTTACAAAATGGCCCAAGTGTACAAAATGGCCCAAGTGGTACCGTTGTAAGGCTAAAATCGCATATAAACCTTCCTCCATGGCTAGAACCGGGTCACGTGAACTGGGCCAACTCCAAAACGCAACTGTCTTTTAAGTATTTTGTTCGTGGCCCAGCCCATATCAACATGTTCCATGAGATTCCTCAACCCGCCACCCCACCCGGCCCCCATCCCCATCTCCGCACCACCCGGGGTTGTCAGCGGCGGCGGCGGCTGGCCATACAAGTACAAGTACATCGCCCGATCCATGTCCTCTCTTCTCTCACGCTCTCAGGTATCTTTCAGCTCTACCACTACTCCTTTACTGCCAATACTCTTGTTCTGTGGCGGGTTACTGAGGTTTAAAGTGTGGTTAATTGTTCCACCAGTACTACTAGACGCTTAGATGATTTATTTATTTAATTTGCTGAGGATGATGAAAAATGTGTCCGTGATGTACGCCACGTTCGTTTGGCTTATAATCCGTATTTTTTCAACGAACGAATAGTATTTTTCTCTTATAACAAATCAGCCAACAATACTTTCAGCCATGACTTATCAACCAATCGAACAGGACGGTAATTAGCTGCTTTTTCATGTATGTGATGTTGAAATTAAATTTAGTCATAGGTTGAAACCACGCAATACTGGTGCATCTTTGTCCACAATTTGACTGAAGCTATGCAATGTTCAGTGTGTTGAAATACGTCCACTGTAAAGCCTTGTGTTGATGCACATGTATCTATCTCAACCCACATGTATTGAAGTGGTTTAGAGTGAAATTAAACTAAGTTCTATTCCAATCCACTCATCACATGTGGATTGAAGTGAATACATGTATGCATCAAACAAGACATAAAGTGTATTTATTCCAACTAGATGTATGGGCTACCTGAATTCCATTTACTTCAGTTAGTCATGCTACTTGACCTAGTCCAATATATAATTTGCTGGACTCAACATGACACGACATTTGTATCAGCATGTGGTATTACAGTTGGATGGTCAAGTCCAGTGGACACAGATCAGGTGCAGTAGTCACTACAACTGCAACTTAAGCAGTTGAAGCATCTGATCCATCCATGTGAGAAGCAACGGTTTGGATGATAGCCCTTCTTTATCCTCATTTTCTGTCCCATTTTTAATTCAATTCAATGTCTGCTGTCAGCCATTTGTGCCGCTGCTCTCCGCCCTGCTGCACACCGTAAGGCCGCCGCCGTGGGGCTGCTGGCTGCTGCGAGGTCCGGCCCCTCTCCTTCCCCTGCCGCGGCATGCTGCGACTGGGATGGCATGGCCTGTGACGCTACTGGCCGCACGGCGGCGCTGCTGCTCACGGGCGGCGGCCTCGCTCCCAGCGCCGACGCTCGCTGGGCTCGCCCGCCTCTACAACCTTAGCCTCAGCCGGAATGATCTCACCAGCCTGTCATCACGGTCCTTGCCGCGGGCTGTGGGCACCACGCTGCTCCGCCGCAAACCTCTCGTCCAACGTATTCCACGGTGCACGGCATGTTCTCTAACGCTCCGGCGCTGCGGGTGCCTGTCCAGTTGACCTCACCTCCAACTGCCTCGCCGGCGCGCTCCCATCCTCCTCTCCTCCCTCACCTGTTCCACCACACTCCGGCAGTGCACGTGCCTTGCTCGACTCCAGCAAGGACTCCGCGCCATCTCCGTGAGCAGTAGGATGGAGGCACTGGGGAACAGCCACTGCGGCACGCGAAGGAGGAGGCGCCGGCCTCCCTCACAAATCACGTTGCCACTTCACGAAAATGGTGCCAGACTCTGCCTGTTCCCTAAAAATGGCAGCTCACAGTCACAGCGCATGGCTGGCGGACTACAAGGCACTGAGAAAAGGCATAGAAACAAATATTTTGATCCTAGCCATTGCTTCTCTGATGGATGGATCAGATGCTTCAACTGCTTATGTTGCAGTAAGTGGGGTGGTCAGGCAAATGCTTCAGAACCTATACATCATATTCTGTCCGAGGTCCTGTGATGATGTGACATTTTGTATATACAAGTATAGAACTAACAACAGCTAATCGTTAAGCTAATGAGTGGCTTGAACTATTGGGCGGAGCCAAGTTGAAAGCAACTCCAGCCCTCGTTTCTTGGGGATCATTTTGAAAAGAAATGGGTTAAATTTCTGAAACTATGAGGATTCCATGTCAGATCGTCATTATATTAATGCTGCTGTTTAATCTGGGATTTAACTGAAATAAACCTCTGTCGAAGGTTGACCAAAGAGGAACCGAAATAAAATCTGTGATGTAGAACTTTTAGTGTGTCATTCAGAAGATACATCAAATTACTTAACAATGCTGCTTTAACAACTTCGGAAAAACGCAAATCAATTGTCTTCTCTTTTGACTAATAGTTTTGTTCTGGTGTTGTAGCTGTTGGTTAAGTTGAACTTTGAGGAGCACTACAGCAAGCTCATTCTCATGACTTTCTGGTAGGTATATAATTCTAGTATATCTTACGTGCTGTTTGGTTCGTACGGCAGTAACTTAAATGGAAATAAAAGTAGTTCAAATGGCATGTGTGGCGGTAACGTCCATAGCTTTAATTCCATTCCATCTGCGTGACCGATGCTATAACCAAACAGCACCTTAACTGTACCTATGAAGAATTATAGTTTCTAGTTATATTGCTACACGAGTACACGTGCTTTTCTTCATAAACACAATGATGTTTCTGAGGCTATTGAACCACTGTCTCCCTTCATCTAATCTGTTTATATCCAGAAAACTGGACCTCAATTTCCTTCGCAATTTATGGCTAATACCATGTATAATGTTACGATCAACTTAGCAGCTTACAGAAAAATGCACATCCTGTACTGTTACAGTCACCTTGATTTGACTTTTGTTTTCTCGAACACACAGGAGATCCGTATATCATTGCATTAAGAGAGGAATATGACATTTCCCTTGAAGACAAAGGTTACTATTTTTTTGTTTGTCATTTTTTTTTATCTTTTCAATCATAACTATTGCTCTAATGGCCCAAAATTCCAAAATTTTGTTAGAATTGTGGAAGCATTCACTATTTTATGCATGCCATGCTGATGCGTGAAATTAATTTCTTAGTATATGAAAAATCCATTGCATGATGCAGGAACCTGTTGGGAATTGGGATGCAGAAGTAGTGAAATCATCAGCACATAATTAAAGTAATGGTTTTGCAAAATGATCAGTCTACGAGTCCCAGGTCCAGAGCCACTCCATGACTACATCAGTTATACGTTGGGCAGCAAATATATTGGGTGTATAAGTTGTCGCCACAGTTAAGGGAGCTGCTGAAAACAATTGACATGTTCTTTGAGCTGATTCAGAAATCTTCAGCAATCACAAGCTATACACTACATGATCTTTTCCATAGAATGGAGCTCCTGAAAATGTACATCTTGTTTCAAAAGAATCACGAAACGACAGTGATTACAAAGCTATGACATGTCTTTTGAACAGGAGCGCAACATTAGTCGCTGTTGCACAGGCATCGTCATACCACCGAGCTGTTAAGAGTCTTCCATATATCCTACACTGACATGTAAACGCGGAACATCCACTGAACTTCAATTCAGTTGTATCACACACTGAATCGTCAACTGTACAAAGGGTCATTCATCTGGTCCGAGACAGACCAAAGAAGATTTGCCTCGAGTAGAGGCCTTCAGTGCCCTGCACGTATGAAACTAACCATGTAGAGTGGCAGTACACCACCCGGCTCACTGGTCTCCCAGATTATGTGCCAGGTTGGGTCGCCCCGCGCGTCAAGCACAACCCCACTCTGGAACAAAGGGTTGCTGGGTGAGTCCTGCTGGGATCCTTCTGGTACTATCTCTCTGAAACCCAGCGCCAGTGCGCACAGCAGCATGTGGCCCGGCTGGTGTACTGCCCCAGCCAGCGAAACCAAGGCGCTGTAAAAGAAAGGGAAAGGAACAGTGTAAAAGAAAGGAAAGGAAGAGCAAGACATGAATTGATATTTGTTATTAAGAACAGAAATTCAAACTTTGAATTGATGTTTCTTATCAAGGACAGAATTCAAACTTAAGCAACATGTACAGCAAGCCATGAATTGATGTTACTTAAGAACAGAATTTAAACTTAAACAAGGAACGAAGGATTAAAAATAAGCTTAAGATCATATCAGACAGCTAATGCTACACTACATGTGATGAAGACCAATAACAATTTATCATCACCTTTTCATTATCCTCCTCATTGAGGCTATATGCACGCCGCGGCCATGTGCCCTCTCAAAGCCCAGAATCTCCACCCGCTCCCAGTTTGCGTGTAAGGCTTCATCTTGGAAAGCCCCATGCTGAACAAGTTCGGCCTCGGCGCCGTACCAGCCAAAGACTGGCCTCTGCACCTGCATCCGCTCGCAGAAGGGGTCCATGGCGTGCAGGCGGTGAAAGCATCTTCGCACCTCAGTGATGATCAGCCTCCCTTGGCATTCCTCTGTGAATCGCTGCCTCACAGTCTCCTCATCCATCCCGAAGATGCGTGCGCTCACGAAGACGCGATACTGATCGTCCACCCAATACATGGCGATGGTCCTCAACGGGGTCCCCTCCTCATCAACCTCAACACAAATCTTCCTGAGAAAATCCAACTGGATCCTCCGCCCGTCCAACAGCAACGCCTCGATGGTCGCATGCGTTCTGGCGTTGAAGGTCTCGCGGATCAGCTCTATAGTCCACTCAGGGAGGATGGTATCGATGCTGCGGTAGTCACCATCCCTGAAGAGCGGACCGACGGTTTCAGGCGGACCATCGCCGTGCCCATCCTCCTCATCCCGATCGGCAAGAAGAACGATGGTCTCGAGCGGACCGCTCCGCTGGAACTCGTTCCACTGCAGCAGCAGATGGGCCGGAGACGCCTCGTACTCGGGGATGCTCAAGGGGAGGACGTGGTTCTGCGGTAGCAGCGCGACGCCACCGCCCATGTCCTCGATGAACTGATCGAGGTCAATGACATCGTCGCCGTCGTCCTCCATGCCCTGCTCCTGCTCGACCCCGTCGTCCTCGTGCTCCATGGCCTCCTCGAGCCAGGCGTCGCCCGCCTCCATGCCCTGGCCCTGGTCACCCTCCATGTCCTGGAGGGCGCCGTCGTCGCCGTCCTCCATGCCCTGGTCGATACCCTCGTCTCCCGCCTCGATGTCCTGCTCGATCCCAGAGTCGTCACCCTCCATGTCCTGCTGCTGGATCAGCGCGCCGTCCTCGTCCTCCATGTCCTCCTCGAGCCCGGCGTCGCCCGCCTCCATGGCCTGGCCCTGGTCACCCTCCATGTCCTGGAGGGCGCCGTCATCGCCGTCCTCCATACCCTCCTCCTCCACGCCATGGTCGATCCCGGCGTCTCCCGCCCCCATGCCCTGATCGAGACCAGCGTCGTCACCCTCCATTCCCTGCTGGAGGGCGCTGTCGTCGTCGATGGGCGGCGCTTGGGCACCGCCATCATCCTCCATGAGTCTGCGAGGGAGACCCGACCGATAGGGGTAGGATGGGACCTTCCTTCCGCTGAGGTGAGATGAGGGAGCAGAGGATGGAGCACCGACGCGTGCGCGGCGCTGGGCGAAGCCGGGGAGAGGAAGAGGAGGAGCGAAGAGCCGAGGGCGGTGGTCGGGCTTTTCGCAGAGCGGGCGGTATTTGAGTTGGGTCCGAAGGCAGCGCGGCCGTTGGATTTGGGTCGATGCTGTGTGGCGGTGCGAGGGCGCGTGAAGCCGTGAAATGATCCGGCAACGGCCGGGCCATGCTCTGTTTTCCTTACGCCTCCGGCATTGGCTCTCTACAGCGTGCCCACGTAGGAGAGAGAACAGGGAGATGTTTGGTTTCTTTGCTGGACCTGCTACACCTTGCCGAGCAAGGATAGCTAGTACAGATAAGTGTTTGCTTCCTTTGCCAGAGGGTCTTGAGGATAGTGACGGCAAGATTCTGCTCGCTCGTGCAAGAGAGCCAAATTGGCTCGCCCACGTGAGCGAGCTCCTTGTCGCCCACACCTAATGTTGCGAGGCATGTGAAAGCTTTAGTTTGGTTTTGGTAAATTGATGAAACCCTAAGTGCTAACCTAGTTTATACAAGTGATTATGAGATAGATAGCACTACTTCAAGTGATGAAGCAAATGAAGATCATGACATGATGATGGTGATGCCAAGGTGATGATAAGTGCTTGGACTTAGAAAAGAAGAAAGAGAAAAATAAAAAGCTCAAGGCAAAGGTGAAATTGATATGAGCTTTTCGGTTTAAGTGATCGAGACACTTAGTGAGTGTGATCACATTTAGGATCGATAGCCATACTATTAAGAGGGGTGAAACTCGTATAGAAATATGGTTATCAAAGTGCCACTAGATGCTCTAACTCATTGCATATGCATTTATGATCTAGTGGAAAGCTAACACCCTTGATAATGTTGTGAAAATATGCTAACACACGTGCATAAGATGATACACTTGGTAGTTAGCACATTTAAGAAGGGTAGAGAAGTTGGTGAAATAAAGGAGGTGTTAGTCACTGAGAAACAGTGACCGGACGCTGGTCACGTGGTGATCGGACTCAGAAGAGCAGCGTCCGGTCAGTAGTGGATTAGTAGCGCGGTCTCGGTTTTATTGATCGGACTCTGCCTTGGGCAGTGACCGGACTCTGACCCTGCGTCCGGTCAGTAGGCGCGCAGTGAAGGCCGGTCTCGGTCCCTTGACCGGACGCTGAAGAGAAAGAGGGACCGGACGTGCAGTGGGTGCGTCCGATCACCTAGTGAAGTACGCTGACGCAAGCAACAGAGACAGACTAGGCTGACCGGACGCTGGCCAGGGTCCGGTCATGGGCCACCGGACGCGTCCGGTCGCGAAAAACCGGTTCTGAAACCTTACTAGAAACGACCGAACTCTAGTAATGGAGCGTCCGGTCACTTTGAGCAGCGCGTCCAGTCACAACTTAAGCACTGACGACCGTTGAGATCGGCGCGATCATCATTTGAAGCAGGGGACACGTGGTAAAATTCTGAGGACCGGACGCTGGGGTGCTGCGTTCGGTCAATCCGACCAGTGCGTCCGATCCCCCCGATTTTTCAGTGAACAAAGAGCCAATGGCTCTATTCGTGGGGGCTCTCTATTTAAGCCCTATTGCCGGCTCTAGCTCACCCTCTTGACCATTTACATTGACATAGCAACCTTATGAGCTTAGCCAAAGCCCTCCCACTCATCTTCATCATTGATTCATCATCTTTGTGAGATTGGGAGAGAATCCAAGTGCATTGCTTGAGTGTTAGCATCTAGAGGCACTTGGTGTTTGTGTTTCGTTGCGAGATTCGATTGTTACTCTTGGTGGTTGCCGCCACCTAGACGGCTTGGAGCAGCGAGGATCGTCGAGCGGAGGTTGGTGATTGTCTCCGGCTCCGATCGTGGTGATTGTGAAGGGTTCTTGACCTTTCCCCGACAGAGAGCCAAAAGGTACTCTAGTAAATTGCTCGTGGCTTGTGTGATCCTCATCTTGTGTTTATTGTGCGGCACCCTATTGAGGGTTTGGCGTGTGATGCCAATTAGCGCGTGAACCTCCAAGTGAGTGAATCGGCACAACGAGGACTAGCTTGCCGGTAAGCAAGTGAACCTCGGTAAAAAATTATTGTGTCATTATTTGATTCTGAGGTGATTGGTCTTTATTGGTATTCATTCTTGTGATTGATTGGTTCATTCCTCAACTAGGCGGTATAACCTTCTTGCTCTCTATCTCTTTACATTACCGCAAACTAGTTGTCAAGCTCTTTAGTGTAGCTAGTCGTGAGAGCTTGTTAGTTTGGTTAATGTAGCTCTTTAGTTAGCCTTTGAGAGCACACTAACTTAGTGTAATGACATAACCATTGTGTGGATAGAAACTATAGAAACTAGAATTGTGGTAGGTGGCTTGCATTTTTAGTAGGCTAGCGTAACACTTGCTTCGCCTCATATTTGTTTAACCATTTTGCTAAGTGTTGTTGTAGAAATTTTTTTAATAGGCTATTTACCCCCCTCTAGCCATTAGGACCTTTTAGCATGGCTTCTCGGGAACCAAGCAGCCCCCAAGTTGTCGCTACTCGCTCGTGCAAGAGAGCCAAATTAGCTCGCCCACATGAGCGAGCTCCTTGTTGGCCACGCCTAATGTTGCGAGGCATGGCTTGTCGGGAACCAAGAAGCCCCCACGTTGTCGCTACGTCTAGCGAGAGTCACTTCACGAATTTCCAAACCATCGAGATCCATGCATGCGTATGGAGAAGGCAGGCGAACGATCTGGACGTGGTTGGTAAGATGCGGCCCGATGATGGTGTGGACTCGGTCACTGCCGCTGGGTGCAGGCGAGGCACAAGATTAGCTACCGCCTAGCACGAGCATGGCCACTGCCACTTGGCACGAGCTTGGCGCAATATAGAGAGGTGAGGGGAGGCCTGGTCGGGCCTAGACGTAGGCGGAGGTTGGCAGATGACGGTAGAAGAAGAACGGCACACTCATCGAGCGTGGCACCCGCCGTCGGGTGAGCCCGAGCATGGGCTGCCAGGAAGGAGGAGCAACGCCACCGTCCGCCAAAGATGAGATGCGGATCACTATGACTGGTTTGGGGACCTACTGGTATAAAAAGATGAGAGGTGGAAGAAGATGGTAGAAAGAAAGATATAATAACTAGCAAAAGACGTCTTAGAATCATACTTTGTACTATTGTTGGACACGATTTATGCTAACCTAGCACAAATCATGAGTCTAGGTCACATACTGGACATAAAAGGATGTAAGAGGAGAGTTATCTTATCGGATTGGGATTAGGTTTATTCACATGTAAAGGATGGGTACCAGGTGAGTTTCTAGAAATGACTGGAGAAGAATTCTTGTTGACAGAATATCGTCGGCAGTCCTCCGAGGGGTATCTCACGAAGGTAGATTGATCGGCAGTGGTGCACATAAAGAAGGCAACAGAGACACAAGAGTTAGACAGGTTTAGGCCATCTGCACGATGTAATACCCTACTTCTGTGGTCTGTTGGTTTGTATTGACTATCGTATGATATTGCGTGTGTTTTGAGGGGGTCCCCTACCCACCTTATATAGCTGGGGGTAGGGTTATAAGTCGGTTAGATCTAAGAGATAACCGGTAAGTAATAACAGATTACAGGAATCACGAGATCGAGCATATCCTAACAGATCTCGTAGCATCTTCAGGATATCGCCCTTGACATCTTGCGGTACACGCCGAGCAGTACCGTGCACCGTAAGTCTTCATCTTGTGGGTTGGACCACCCCTGGCAGCGCAGCCCATGTAGCATGCCATGGGTATCCGGGGTCATACCCCCCCACAGCTAGTCCCTGAGCGCCTTGTATCCGTTGTGCAACGCCATCTTGAGCTTGTCTGAGCAGGTGTAAACGAAGCCGAGCAGTCAGACTCATAGTCTGACCACCCTAATGAGTCACCGAGCAGTTGTGGACCGTAACCGACTAGCTTAACTATCCGACCGAGCACAGGCTTACCCAAGTAAAGCTTGATGGAATGATGTAAGGAGCTCAAGTTCAAAATCGAAAAATTTCCTTGCTGTGAACCAAGTGTGCCCACTTAGAGTCCGACCACGAGAAAGGGAAGTAATCTTCTTCAACTACAGGAGGCACGGAGTCTTCCAGATTAAAGAAAACACACTCACCACAAGGTAAAGTATGCCCACTTAGTCCCCGAGCCTGACAGTAGGTGATGTGGTCACGTGGTGCTAGGGTCCAGAAAGTAGAAGAAAGGCAGAAAACCAGTCGAGCAGACGACCAGTCCATGGGCTGAGTCCTAAAATGAAAAGCGTACATTCACCACAAGGTGAAGTGTGCCCACTTAGTCCCCAAGCCTGACAGTAGGTGACATGGTCATGTGGTGCCAGGGTCAGAAACAACAGCAACCGAAAAAGTCCCCAGTATGGTGAGAAACCGAATCGTAATGATGACGTAGTCCCCAAGCCACAAGTGAAAATCTCAGATAAATCAAGAAGTGCCGATTACTCAAATCGTGGAGAGAAAACCAGAGCAGTGACTGTACAGTAGAAATTACTGAGCCTTGATGGTATTGTGGAGAGGTCGGCAAAAATTCGGTGTGCAGTACCAAGTTGCGTTGAAAAATGGGCGATATGGGCCGCAGTTACGTGGAAGCCCAGATAACGGCCCAGCATGCCGCTTTGGGGAATTCAGAAGGGCGCAAATCAGCATGGTGCGGTTTTCCAAAAACCCTTGAATGCGAAAAGTAGGCTGGTGTCTTTATAACTACGTCGTCGCACTGCGTGCTCCCACCTTTGCCACTCTGCCAGTTCATCTTCCTCCTTGCCATCACGCTCCCCCATTCGCATTCACACGCACTCCAGATCTGAGGGATGGCGTCGAAGAGGGGAGGTGGTAACACGAAGAAGGCGGCCACCGGGGTGAGCCATGGCAAGGAATGGGTGCTGTCACTCATGGAGGAGATAGAGCTCAATGAGATGGTGGAGGCGGGCGTTCTTCCTGACCGTGTCACCGCCGGATGGCGTCCGACCGACGGTGAGCCCTATCCGATGCCACACACCATCGAACTCGTTGTATTCGAAGATTATTTCTGGCGTGGATTAGGCCTTCCCGTACATCCTTTCTTGCGGGATCTGTTGGAGTATTGGGGAGTGAGCTTGTGTAATCTTTATCCAAACACTATTTTACACATTTCTGTGTTTATCCACTTCTACGAGGTTTATCTTGGCATTCTTCCTCATTTTAATCTCTTTCGACACTTTTTCTGGCTAAAGAAGAAAGGACGGGGCGGTTCCAAAGTTGTCGGCAGTGTGTATCTACAGCTCCACGATGGGATGGCGACGAATACATTACTATGCCGCTGAATACCTCACTGAAGGGGTGGAATGCTAGGTGGTTCTATATGAAGCAAAGTGATCCTGCTGTCCGATGCGATATCGACGAGATTCTAGAGAATCAAAGGAGCTGGTCGGAGAAACCGACCAGTGCCGATATGGGACAGGTGAAGGACCTCCTCGAGCTAATAAGGGGCATGAAGATGAGCGGAGTGGTGGTGGCGGTGAACTTCATACTGCACCAAGTCCAGCCCTACAAGGAGAGGGCTCATGCGGGCTTTGACTTCAAAGGAGATATTGACGGCACCCGGGAGAGGACGGAGAATCTGGCGAAGGAGGTTGTGCTACACCGGGCTGCTGAACTATTCGCTCCAAACGTGTCGTACACCATGCCGAGGCAGCCGAAACCCTTCAACTGCACAAACCCACCTCCTTAGGTAAAAACCTTGACTGTTGTTCCTGGTACTTTTTGTTCCATGCCGGCGCTGAGTAGTGGACTGATTCACTTGTGGAAAGATCCATTGGCAGGAATAGGCGGCGTACTTCTCGGGAGTGCCGAGGAGTGATTGGCCAAAGGCAGTGGACGCTAGGCCGACCAACTCACTCGGAGGAAGGTGCCGTCAACACCTCGTTCGAATCCAGAAGTGAAGGTGTTGGTCAAAAGGAGAGTTCCCCCCCCGGTATCAGAGAAATTTTGGGGGAAAAGGGCGGTGAAAGATGAGCCAGCCTAAAAGAAGAGAAGAACGGCGAATGTAGCTTCCCGCAAGCTGGTTGGCATCTCATTTGGTGGCGATTGGACCACTTGGACGTAGAGTGCGGCGATGTCCGAGTGGTTGAACGACGACGAGGCTCCAGTAGCTCCCCCTTCGAGCACTAAAGCATCATCGCGCAACACACGTGCGGAGGTGCAATCGAAGCGAGGGGAAGGAGTCCTCGAGCAGCAGGCGAAAAAGACACTAATGGCGGGGGCCGCAAGACCTCTAGCCTAGGACACATAGGTTGACCCTAGAGCAATACCTGGGTGCTCGGGGAGGTAGCGCCGGTTCAAAACCGTTTATCGGGAAGCTAATGTGTAAGTATCTTTGCTCTGGAATCGGTTGCTATCCGATCTTTATAATGTTCCACCCTAGGTGCTCGGAAAGCAATATCCGTAGGAAGTATGGCTTCTGAGCCGTAGACCAAAAAATATGGAGACACACCGGTGTTGTGACTAGCTTGAGTGCGCAGTCCCCAGACCATAGCTGGGAGCTCTTTGAGCCATCTACCCGGATGCTTTTCCTCTTTCTGGTATAGTCTCTTTTTGAGGGCATCGAGGATCATGCCATTCACCCGTTCAACCTGGCCATTGGCTCTAGGATGGGCAACAAAAATGTATTTGACGGAGATGCATCGGTCTTCACAGATGTCCCAAAAATGGTGACCAGTGAATATAGTTCCGAGGTAGATGATAATGCTATTTGGGAGACCAAATCTATAGATGATATCTTCGAAGAGCTCAACTGCCTTCTTTGCAGTGGCCGAAACAAGCGGCTTATATTCGATCCACTTAGAGAACTTGTCAATGACGATGTATACGTACCAAAAACCACTTGGCACATGCTTGAAAGGCCCGATCATGTCCAGTCCCCAGCATGCAAAAGGCCACAAAGCTAGGATGGTCTGCAATTCCTGCGCCGGCACGTGTATTTGCTTGGCAAAAAATTGACATCCTGCACAATGTCGGACGAGGTCTTCCACATCAAAGATGGCCATGGGCCAGTAAAAACCAGCTCAGAAAGCTTTGCTGACCAGGTTTCTAGAGGCCGCGTGATTGCCATAGGAGCCAGAGTGAATTTCAAGAAGTAGTTTCACTCCCTCTTCTTGGGTGATGCATTTCTACAGTATCCCTTTATTGGCACTTTTCCTCATCAACTTCCCGTCTACCAGCTGTTGGGAGTATGCCCTAGAGATAATCATAGAGATGATTATATTGCCTTGTATCCATGATATATTATGAGTTCATTGAATTTCCATTAAAGACAACCTGTATAGATTAGCAATTATGTAAATTGTTTGTGAAACTCTTTTACTTGTATGGTTATTCTAATGTTGTCCCTAGTCAAAGTTCGTGTGAGGACACACATGAATAATGGATCAGCACATTATTAGTTGATGACTATGTTTCACAAGTCATAGACATGGAGATGTCAAACTAATAATGTGGGCACATGTATGACATGGGGCTGGACTGACCCAACGTGAGATGTTATTATCTCTATTCACATCGTGTACGTTATGTCCTTAGACCTGAGATTGTTGTATGTATTCAAGATGTGAAACGACCTACTCAGGGACTATCAAACGCTACTCCGTAACAGGGTAGTTATAAAGGTGGTTTTTTGGGTTTGTCAGGAAACATGCTATGAGACATAGACAATCAAGATGGAATTTGCCCCTCTCTATATGAGAGAGATATCACTGGATCACTCTAATGATTAGATCAAGAAATGCATGGCCGTGCTTGGGTTAAGTGTTAACCTATGAGTTGGACCAAATATCGTGAGGCAAGGGAATAACAAGTATGTGGTTTTGTGGTGGTTCGTCTGATATGATCTTTGCGTACGCATAGGAGTTGACATACCTTGCTAGAGGCCACTATCAACTAATGGCCGAGTAGGAGTACTCGGGCCATGTCTATGTGTGCATGAACACATAGGGTTGCACGCTTAAGGGGCTGGAAGCCTAATTCGGATTGGATCCGAGTTAGACAAGGCTTAGGGTTACTAATGGGCCTCCAACTCGGGAGCTCATTAGGGACGCCTATAAATAAGTGGGGTGGGCAACGGGGCTAAGAGAGGCATGCCATTTGGCAGCCGCCGCCGCCCATCCTACTCCCGCGCCTGCTGCTCCTCGTGGACCTAGCAGTCTGGAGGCGCGACGCTTCCTCCCTGTATGTGTGGATACCTCGGAGGTGCTGCATCTGGAGCACAAGGATGAACCGCATGAAGGGGATGGACGTATGGACGACCTTGCAACTACACGGCGCTGCTACGACGCGTAAGACTACATCGAGTCACTTCCACTGCACCTGCGCGTCTAGTGGTAATCCCGTGATCTATAACTAGCAGTAGATCCTGGTTTATGAGGTCGATTTTTTTTTGTTTTCCGGCTAGCGTAGCATCCTCATAACCCTACAGTGGTATCGGAGCCAGATTACTACGTTGTTATAGGTTTGGATGAGTGCGTATGGAGATATGAGCGGTTGTAGATGAGTCTTTGATCATGGTTCGTGATTTTACCGTATTGGTCTTGTAACAATCTACTCGTACCGGTCGGAATTCCACCATCCGAGTTAAGTGATACATGTAAATCCAGTCATGGCAAGATAGAGATCAATCAGATTGATCGAATCGAACCTAGGTCAAGTGTCGAGCACATGTGATGTGCAGCGATGATAGATTGGATCTACTGCCGGGCGCCGGGGTGCAAGAAAAAGTGTTGTTCGGTAAAACAGTCATAACTTTTGCATACGACCTCGGATTGAGACAAACTCTAAACGAAAATTGTAGAGAAAAAATTTTACATCCGATTCTCACCGCCCTTGGCGGTTTCGCTGAAATTAGATTTGCGAAAAACGGCCGGGAAGATGGTGTTTTCGGCGTTTTAAGATTAGACGTCGGAATCGGTTAACTCTGTTTTGCAGGAATTTATGACTGGTATAGCCCTTATGTGTATGTGATGCATGTATGTAATTAATTCATGGCTTGCATGTCGTGAGCATGACAATATGGCTGGAGCCACAAATATATTGTCAATTTGATGTAATGGCCTGCGTGCCAAACTATGATGATCCTATCCGCGACTATGTAATTTTCTTCACTGCCTTGCGTTAGTGATAGCTAGTCTTGGTGGACTCATCACTGAAGGATGGCATACATGGATCATGGAGATGGAGATCATCATGAGGAACAGTTCGATGGAGATGGAGATCCCCAAAGGAACAATGGGCTATACCATGTCATATCTGTGTTAATGCCGTTCTTACTATGTTCTACTTTCATGTGCGATAATGTTTTTGTCTACATGCGATGGTGAAGTAGAACGATCCCTCGGCAATGTTTAAGTTAAAATGCTTCCCCAAACCTTGCACTGTCATGTGTCTTGTACAATCGGTGGTGGGTCTATGAAATTAGGGTGCCACTGGTTTTCCTTGACTAGACAGGTTCATATCGGATACTTATAGCAGAAGGGTTGGTTACTTGGACAAGGTCATCCTAACGGTTAGGGACCTTGGAGCATGAGTAGTTGGGCACCAAAGCATAGAGATGCTACCCAACAACAAGAGTCATATGTTATATGATTAGCAAAGAGTTGCTTACCAATCTACCATGTCTTCTAGCGGTGATGCTAAAGCTCACTAGTAGACTTGTTAGTTGTGGGTCTTGAATCACTAAGTTTCAAGAGAGGGATATTGATTTTAGTGGGAGTAGATTCTATTAAAGGTTTAATATTGTTTACTCTGTCTTGGATATATTGTCTTAGTATTTTGCATTACTTTTGTTGTAGATAAATGGCGCCTAGCAATCAATGATTTACTCTGCGTTCAATTCTTGAGAAAGATAAGTTGAATGGAATAAACTATGCAGATTGGATCCGCTACCTGAGAATTGTTCTCAGGGCTGAGAAAAAGGAAGAAATTGTAGACACCCCATTACCAGAAGAGCCTGCTGATAATGCACCTGCTGCAGAGAAAAACACTTACAAGAGAGCATGTGATGCTGATCTTGAAGTGAGTCACCTTATGCTTGCTTGTATGGAACCAGATCTGCAGTTGCAGTTTCACAATAACCATGCAGCGCACGATATGATCGTGGCGCTCAATGATATGTTCTAGACTCATGCTAGGACTGAAAGGTTCAATGTCTCAAAGGCTTTTGCTAAAACCAAGCTAGCAGAGGGCGCAGCAGTTGGGCCACATGTGATCAAAACGGTTGGTTACACTCAGAGGTTGGAGAAGCTGGGCTTCCCAATTGGCCTTAAATTAGCTACTGATTTTATTCTCGCGTCTCTTCCGCCCAGCTATGGAAATTTCATCGCGAACTACCATATGCATGGGGCAGAGAAGGGCTTGAATGAATTATGTGGCATGCTTAAAATAGCAGAGGCTGATATCAAGAAAGGTGCTGGCAGTAGCCATGTGATGGCGGTCCAAAACAAGCCTAAGTTTAAGAAGAAGGGCAATTCTTGGAAGAAGAAAAAGGGCAAGGCTAAAGATGAGATCTCTAAGCCAAACCCACCTGCGCCCAAGGTTGGACCACCTGCTGATGCTGAGTGCTTTCATTGTCATGGGAAAGGTCACTGGAAGAGGAACTGCAAGCTGTACCTGGAATCCATAAAGGATCATGACAGTAAAGGTACTCCCGCAGCTTGTACACTTGTTGTTTATGTTACGGACATTTTCCTTGCTAAGTCTTATATTAATTCTTGGTTATTTGATACCGGATCGGTTGCTCATATTTGCAATACGATGCAGGGAATGATAAGAAGTAGAAGCGTGGAAAAGGGAGAAGTTGATTTCCGCGTGGGCAATAATGCAAGAGTTGCTGCGTTGAACGTCGGGACGATGCAACTCCACCTCCCATCAGGATTTATTATGGAGTTGAATAATTGTTATTTTGTTCCTAGTTTAAGTCGAAACATTGTGTCACCTTCATGTTTGATGAAGGATGGTTATTCATTTGCGAGTATAGACAATGGTTGTGTGATCTCTAAAAATGGCATGTTTGTGGCTTCTGCATCCATTGTGAATGGCTTATTTATTTTAAATCTTGAAGATGCTCCTGTCTATAATATAAGTGCTAAAAAGCCTCGGCTTAATGAGTTAAGTAGTACCTATATGTGGCATTGTCGTTTAGGTCATATAAGTGAGAATCGCATGAAGAGGCTCCATTCTGATGGGCTTTTAACTTCGTCTGATTTTGAATCATACGAGACATGTGAGGCTTGCCTGCTAGGCAAGATGACCAAGACGCCTTTCACAAGTTTTCCTGAGAGGGCGGCAGACTTGCTGGAACTCATACATACTGATGTGTGCGGACCAATGAGTACGACAGCAAGAGGCGGATTCCAATACTTCATAACCTTCACTGATGACTTTAGTAGATATGGCTATGTCTACTTAATGAGACATAAGTCTGAGACATTTGAAAAGTTCAAGGAGTTTTAGAGTGAAGTAGAGAATCAAGGTGGCAAGAAAATTAAGGCTTTGCGATCTGATCATGGAGGTGAATATTTGAGCCACGAGTTTAGCAATCATCTAAAGAGTTGCGGAATTGTTCCACAGCTTACACCACCTAGAACGCCTCAGAGAAATGGCGTGTCCGAGCGACGTAATCGAACTTTGTTGGACATGGTTCGGTCTATGATGAGCCAGTAAGACCTACCGTTATCATTTTGGGGATACACTCTAGAAACAGCCACTTTCACATTGAATAGGGTACCGTCTAAGTCCGTAGTTAAGACACCACATGAGATGTGGACTGGTAAGAGTCCCAGTTTGTCTTTTCTAAAAATTTGGGGTTGTGAAGTTTATGTCAAATGACTTATGATAGATAAACTAACACCCAAGTCAGACAAATGCTTTTTCGTGGGATATCCGAAGGAAACTTTTGGGTATTACTTCTACAACCGATCAGAGGGCAAAGTGTTTGTTGCTCGGAATGGTGTTTTCTTAGAGAAAGAGTTTCTCAAAAGAGAGAAAACTGGATAGAAGGTGTATCTTGAAGAAGTTCAAGATGAGCCAGTTGGGAAAGACTCTACGAGTGATGCTAATGTAGCAGAACAAGTTGAGATACCCGTGGCAATAGAAACACCGCCACAACCACAAAGGTCAGCAAGAATCCATGAGTTGCGTGGGGATTTGTTATTGTTAGATGATGACGAACCTGTGACTTATGTGGAAGCAATGATGGACTCAGATTCCGAGAAATGGCAAAGTGCCATGAGATCCGAGATAGATTCCATGGGAAACAATCAAGTTTGGAACTTGGTTGACCCGCCTGATGGGGTTAGACCCATAGAGTGCAAATGGATCTATAAAAAGAAAAAGGATATGGATGGAAACGTTCACGTCTATAAAGCTTGACTTGTTGCAAAGGGTTTTCGTCAAGTTCAAGGAATTGACTACGACGAGACTTTCTCGCCAGTAGCGATGCTTAAATCTATCCGGATCATTCTAGCAATAGCTGCTTATTTCGATTATGAGATATGGCAGATGGATGTTAAAACAGCCTTTCTAAATGGAAATTTGGATGAGGACGTGTATATGATATAGCCCGAAGGTTTTGTTGATCCAAACAATGCTGGAAAAATTTGCAAGCTTCAGAAATCCATTTATGGGTTAAAGCAAGCATCTCGGAGTTGAAACATTCGTTTTGATGAAGTGGTCAAAGGGTTTGGCTTCCGTCAGAATGAAGAAGAACCTTGTGTTTACAAGAAGGAAAGTGGGAGCGCTGTTGTATTTCTGATCTTGTATGTGGATGACATATTATTGATTAGGAATGACATTCCTATGTTGCAATCCGTAAAGACTTCACTGAATAATATTTTTCTATGAAGGATTTAGGAGAAGCAGCATACATTTTGGGCATCAAGATCTATAGAGATAGACCAAAGAGGCTTATAGGATTAAGCCAAGATACGTACATTGACAAGGTGTTGAAATGGTTCAACATGGAACAGTCCAAGAAAGGGTTCTTGCCTATGTCACATGGTATGCGCTTTAGCGATAAACAGTGTCCTTCGACAGCTGATGAGCGGAAGCGCATGAGTAAGGTTCCATACGCCTCGGCAGTTGGTTCCATCATGTACGCCATGATATGTACTCGCCCAGATGTCTCATATGCTCTAAGTGTTGCGAGCAGGTACCAAGCTGATCTAGGAGAGAGTCACTGGACACTTGTTAAAAACATTCTTAAGTACTTGAGAAGGACTAAAGATGTGTTCCTAATCTATGGAGGTGAGGAGGAGCTCGTTGTAAATGGTTACACCGATGTTAGCTTCCAAACTGACACGGATGATTCACAGTCTCAATCAGGTTTTGTGTTCACAATAATTGGTGGTGTTGTAAGTTGGAAAAGTTCCAAGCAGGAGACGGTGACCGATTCTACAACAGAGGCCGAGTATGTTGTAGCTTTTGGAGCTACGAAGGAAGCTGTTTGGATGAGGAGGTTCCTCATTGAACTTGGTGTGTTTCCGAATGCGTCCAGCCCATTGAATCTACATTGTGACAACAATGGGGCAATTACGCAAGCTAAGGAGCCAAGGAATCACCAAAAGAACAAACATGTACTGCGGAAATTACACCTCATTCGAGAGTTCGTTAGACGAGATGAGATCAAGATGTGCAAGATACACAAAGATTTGAATGTTGTAGATCCTTTGACAAAGGCTCTTCCACAGCCTAAGCATGAGGCGCACATGAGAGCTATGGGTATTTGATATCTTCGAGATTAACTCTAGTGCAAGTGGGAGATTGTTGGGAGTATGCCCGAGAGATAATCATAGAGATGATTATATTGCCTTGTATCCATGATATATTATGAGTTCATTGAATTTCCATTAATGACAACTTGTATCGATTAGCAATTATGTGAATTGTTTGTGAAACTCTTTTACTTTTATGGTTATTTTAACGTTGTCCCTGGTCGGAGTTCGTGTGAGGACACACATGAATAATGGACCAGCACATTATTAGTTGATGACTATGTTTCACAAGTCATAGACATGGAGATGTCAAACTAATAATGTGGGCACATGTATGACATGGGGCTAGACTGACCCAACGTGAGATGTTGTTATTATCTCTATTCACATCATGTACGTTATGTCCTTAGACCTGAGATTGTTGTATGTATTCAAGATGTGAAACGACCTACTCAGGGACTATCAAACGCTACTCCATAACAGGGTAGTTATAAAGGTGGTTTTTTGGGTTTGTTGGGAAACATGCTATGAGACATAGACAATCAAGATAGAATTTGCCCCTCTCTATATGAGAGAGATATCACTGGATCACTCTAATGATTAGATCAAGAAATGCATGGCTATGCTTGGGTTAAGTGTTAACCTATGAGTTGGACCAAATATCGTGAGGCAAGGGAATAACAAGTATGTGGTTTTGTGGTAGTTCGTCTGATATGATCTTTGCGTACGCATAGGAGTTGACATGCCTTGCTAGAGGCCGCTATCAACTAATGGCCGAGTATGAGTACTCGGGCCATGTCTATGTGTGCGTGAACCCATAGGGTCACATGCTTAAGGGGCTGGAAGCCTAATTCGGATTGGATCCAAGTTAGACAAGGCTTAGGGTTACTAATGGGCGTCCAACTCGGGAGCTCATTAGGGACACCTATAAATAAGTGGGGTGGGCAACGGGGCTAAGAGAGGCACGCCATTTGGCAGCCGCCACAGCCCATCGTACGCCCGTGCCTACTGCTCCTCGCAGACCTAGCAGTCTGGAGGCGCGACGCTTCCTCCCTGTACGTGTGGATACCTCGGAGGTGCTGCATCTAGAGCACAAGGACGAACCGCACGAAGGGGACGGATGTACGGATGACCTTGCAACTGCACGGCACTGCTACGACGCGTACAACTACATCGAGTCACTTCCGCTGCACCTGCGCGTCTAGTGGTAATCCCGTGATCTATAACTAGCAGTAGATCCTGGTTTATGAGGTCGATTTTTTTGTTTTCCGGCTAGCGTAGCATCCTCATAACCCTACACCAGCACGTAATGCTTGCTGTGACGGATGAGGCATTCAGTTTTGGTCTTATTGGCGGGTACGTCGGCGCTGGTGAGGTACTTGATGAACTGTTCCCTCCAATCTAGGATCGGCGAAGGTACTGTAAGTACTAGCTGCTCGGTGGTGGGAACTTCTTGAACTTCCTTCTCTTAATTAATAGACGACATAAAGAGGTCTTTAATGAAAACCCTAGGTGGAATCATGGCACAAGAAGAGCCTATCTTAGACAAGTGGTCGGCGAGCTGATTTTGGTCTTGTACCACATGGTGGTACTCGATACCATAGAACTTTCCTTTGAGTTTTCTGATCTCGGTGTAGTATGCGTCCATCTTCTCACTGAAACAGGACCAATCTTTGTTGACATGGTTGATGACCGGCGCAAAGTCTCCGTATAGCATGAGGCATTTGACGCCGAGCTCGACGGCTATATGAAGCCTGTGGAGACATGCTTCATATTTCACGGCATTGTTGGAAGCTGGGAAATGAATTCGGAGGACATATCAGAGCTTGTCCTTAGTTGGAGTAATAAACAAAATGCTGGTGCCAGCACCGTTGATGTTGAGGGCACCATCAAAATACATTATCCAGTGCTTAGGGCAAGCAGCAGGGATGGGCTCTTGGATCTCGGTCCACTTAGCGACGAAGTTAGCCAGTGCCTGCGACTTAATGGCCGGCCTGCTTCTAAATTATGTGGAATAAGTGCCGAGCTTGACTGCCCACTTGATGATGCGGCCATTGGCCACTTTGTTATGGAGGATGTCCCTTAGAGGGAACTTAGTGACCACGGCGATCTTGTAGTACTCAAAGTAATGGTGGAGCTTGCACGACATGACTAGAATGGCATATAACAACTTCTGAACCTAAGGGTAACAAGTTTTGGACTCATTAAGAACCTCACTGATGAAGTAGACCGGATGTTGTACCTTATAGGCATGTCCAACGTCCTCACGCTCGACGATGATAGCTATGCTAACGACATGAGAAGTGGCGGCGATGTAGATCAATAGGGGTTCATCTGGTTGAGGCGCTGTCATGATCAGGGGCTTTGTTAAAAACAACTTGAGCTGCTCGAAGGCCGTATCAGCCTCCTCCAACTAGGAGAAGCGCTTGGAGGCTTGAGTAGTTTGAAGAACGGTAGTCCCTTTTCACCGAGGCATGATATAAAGCGGCTGAGAGCAGCCATGCACCTTGTGAGCTTCTGTATATCCTTTACACAGGTCGGCCGTTTCATATTGGTAATGGCAGAGACCTTGTTGGAGTTGGGTTTGATACCGCGTGCGTTGACGATGTAGCCCAGGAGTATGCCGGATGAAACTCCAAAGATGCACTTTGAAGGGTTCAACTTTCATCTATATCTTTTCAGGTTGGTGAACGTTTCTTCGTGGTCGGCGATGAGACTGTCGGCTGTTTTAGATTTGACGACCACATCATCAATGTAAGCTTTGACCTTACAGCCTATCTGTTGGTCAAGGCACATCTGGATGGCCCTTTGGTAGGCTACCCCGGCGTTTTTTAGTCCGAAAGACATGGTGGTATAGCAATATGCACTGAAAGGCATGATGAATGATGTTTTGATCTGGTCGTCTTCTTTGAGGGATATCTGATGATGGCTAGAGTAACAGTCAAGGAAGGAGAGGAGTTCGCAGCCGGCGGTGGAGTCTACAACCTCATCTATCCGAGGCAGACCGAAGGGGTCTTTAGGGCAGTGTTTCTTGAGATCAGTGTAATCGACGCACATTCTCCATTCTTTATTCTTCTTTTGAACAAGGACTGGGTTTGCCAGCCACTCAGGATGATACACTTCTTTAATAAATCTGGCTGCTAGGAGCCATTTAATTTCTACCCTAATAGCCTCTTTGTCTGGCATGAATCATCGGAGCTTCTGCTTGATTGGCTTGGCGGTCGATGAAACATTCAAGGAGTGCTCGATCTTCTCCCGTGGTACCCCTGGCATATCTGTAGGTTTCCAAGCAAATACGTTAGCGTTGGCACATAGGAAGGAGATGAGCACACTTTCCTATTTGGGGTCGAGATGAACCCCAATCTTGGCGATCTTGGTGGAGTCATCGAGGCCGAGGCCAACCTCCTTCGTTTCCTTAGACTTGGGGGAGGCACGAGGAGGCTCTAGCGCTGGGATCTCTAGGTCGTCGGCGGCCACCGTCTTGGTGTCGGTGACCGTGTTGTCCATCTGGATGGAGAGGTCGGTGGCTTCGGCGAGGGAGAGACTCTCTATTTCATAGGCGTAGGCGATGGAGAGGTTGGCCCGTAGGGCCAGAACTCCTGTAGGCGAAGGTGTCTTTAGTACCAAATAGGCGTAGTGCGGTATGGCCATGAACTTGGCCAGAGCTGGCCGACCAAGTATGGCGTGGTAGGTGGTGTTGAAGTCGGTGACATAGAAGTTGATGTGCTCAACACGGAAGTTGCTAGCCGTGCCGAATTGTACCAGGAGGGCGATCTCTCCAAGCGGTTTGGATGCCCTACCAGGTACCACACCCCAGACGGAGGAGTCAGAGGGAGTGAGGTCTTCTATTCCATGGCCTAGCTCCTTTAGGGCTCCGGCGAAGAGCAGGTTCAGGGCACTTCTGCCGTCGATGAGTACTTTCCTAAAGAGTACTTTCTTGACAGTTGCATCGAGAACAAGGGGGAAACGCCCTGTAAGGGATGTTCACCCACTGGTCAGCCCTACTGAAGGTCATAGGGACCTCAGACCAAGGGCGATAGCTAGGGTCGGTGATACGGTCTTCTGTGATGATGGCGAGCACCCAACGGGCGGTGAGTTTTTGATCTCTTCTTCTCTCGATGGTGGTGAGGCCCCTGAAGATAGTGGCGACCACTTTGTTGTGATCCTAGAAGGCGTTATTGTTGTCCCCAGGTGGTCGGCGACCTCTGGCTCCATCGTCATTGTCGTCGTCCTTCTTTTTGGCCTAGAACTCCTTATCCAAGCCAAGGCAATCCTTCATCTTATGGTTGCTATTCTTGTGGAAGGGCATGGGCCTTCGAGAATTTTCTTGTACTACTCGTCGTAGTTATGTTTGGCATGAGGTTCGTCAATGGTGGCGAAGATGTTGTCTGGTCGGCGGTGACGATATTGACCAGCTTTGGACCCTTCCGGATGATCGTGGCCACTGTCCTGATGGTGGCCACAGTTGTCGTAGCGGCGGTCACTGTGGCGTCGTTCGTTAGGGCACTCATCGCTGCGGTGAGTGCCCGCATCCTTGTTGAAGCGAACTTTGGCCTCTTTAGCATCGGCGTACTGATCGGCGGTCGTGATCATCTCGCCAATCCCCTTTGGCGGCTTACGATTGAATTTGGAGCGGAGGTCACGGTGATGGAGTCCTCTGACAAAAGCGGTGATGACTTCTTCTTCCATGATGTTGGGAATAAAATTCCTCATCTCGGAAAATCATCTGATGTAACTATAGAGGAGCTCAGACAGCTTCTGATAAATGCGATTCAACAAGGATGCGGGCACTCATCGCCCAACTCACCACAGCGACGACTGCCCTGACGACCGATGCTACAATGACCGTCGCTATGACGACCGTAGTTACCATCGGGACAGTGGCCATGATCGGCCAGAAGGATCCAAGTCTGGTCAAAATCACCGCCGCCGGCCAGACCACATCGTTGCTGTCCTTAATGAACCTCGCGCCAAGTGCAACTATGACGAGCAGTACAAGACAATCCTCGATGGCT